TCAGCTAGCACGTCTTTTCAAAGTGAAAGTAGCCTTGTCACCTGACCTGAATACAGCGTGCTGATTCGCTAAAATTGACTTATCGGCTTCTGTTCAAAAACAACAAGGGTGCTTGTCGGCTTCTGCAGTAAAATGTGAACCCGTGATGCCTTGAAAGTGGACAAAACCGGCTTTTTTGACAAAGCGTGTTTAGGGTTCAGATCGCGCTATATGTGGAGAATAATGCACGGCAATCAGCTCTTTTTTTTTTTTAAGTGCCGTTTATCGGTTTTTGCAAATTAACTTCATATATATATTAAGCTCTATGCAAAGTGGCCCACATTTGGTTTTCGACCATTTAAAATGTGTAAAATTTAACATTTTGGACACGGAGCCACACTGAGATCCCCATATCTGTGGGATTGAACCATACAGGGCCTTAAAGGGTTAGTTCACCCAAAAATGAAAATTCTGTCATTAATTACTCACCCTCATGTTGTTCGAAACCCGTAAGACCTTCGTTCATCTTCGGAACACAATTTAAGATATTTTTGATGAAATCTGAGGGCTCTCTGACCCTCCTATAGACAGCAAGATAACTAAAAGTACCAAGATGTTCGACAAAGTAGTCCGTGTGACATCAGTGGTTCAACTGTAAAGTTACGAAGCTACGAGAATACGTTTTTGCGCAAATAAAAGTATTCTACGCTGACCCAGATCCGGCGCCGCCACACTGATACTGTCGTGAACGCACGCCCAAAGTGATGCAGTAGAGACGAAAATGTGGAATAAAGTTGTTATTTTTGTTTTCTTTGCGCAAAAAAAGTATTATTCTAGCTTTGTAGCTTTACAGTTGATCCACTGATGTCACACGGACTACTTTGACGATCATCTTGGTACTTTTCTGGACCTTGAACGTGGTAGTTACCTTGCTGTCTATGGGAGGGTCAGAGAGCCCTCCGATTTCATAAATTGTGTTCTGAAGATGAACGAAGGTCTTACGGGTTTCGAACAACACGAGGGTGAGTAATTTATGACAGAATTTTCAGTTTTGGGTGAACTAACCCTTTAAAAATTAAGATACCAAAATAAATGTTTTTTAAGAACCAAAGTCTAGAAGGATATAAATTCAACAGATTTTACTAACAGACTTTCCAATCTCTGTGTAAAAATAACATGATGCTGCGATCTTTCTAAAGTCCTCTTTACCCCCCTGTAATTTGGCTCCAAATCTCAAGGGAAAATGGCAAACTTACTTTCCCTATAGGGACAAAAAAAAGTGTCTAAATGACTAGAAATCCTGTAAAAGCAGCTAATATGGGAAGCTTGCATTTGCTGGATTTTCCCGCACATTCACAAGCACTACAGAACTGCTGCAACAGGGTTTATGTGCGGCACACCTCTGCAGTAGTTTGGAGCAGAGCAGGTCGTGGCAGGCCTCCTCCTCTCGTGTGATATCGGGGCCGTTATAGAGGATGCGTAACATGGCGCAGGCCAGCACCGATAAACCCAGCGCTAGATCAGCCAGGAAGGGCAGGCCACCCGACACATCCTCTGACGACTCCTGAAACAATCAGTGCAAACAAGCAAGGTTGATTTAACACGTTCATTTGGTGCGAATAATTATGAGGAAAATAACACGATTTAACATGATGCAGGACGACTGACTGTGTGACGCAGCCTATCACAATGCAGTTATATGCCCTCAAATTCAAGATATGAGCGCAAAAAAGGCCCCTCTTATGACACTTAAGACTTCAGGTTTTGTGGTCCAGGGTCACAAATAAGTTAATATTGTGTTACATTTAAAACACAATATTATCAGTAGTATCCGTTTTGCTCAATTTCACCAACAAAGCCACAGCAGAAAAGCCGTGCATCTTTGAGCAACACACAGCGCTGTTTTGTTACTGAACGATTCAGTGACCCACGCATAAAGAGCAGTTTTGAACAAATCGAGCGAGCAAATGATTCAGTGCGACCCATTAATAAAGACAGTGAATTAATCTAGCATTTGAATGAATTGGTTGCATAAATACCTGAATGACTCACTCATTAAAAAAAAAAACTCATGAATACCCATTTATTATAATTATTTGTCTATTCAATGTGTTAATGCTTTAAACACAATAATGGCTTAAAATAATCTTTCGGGGGCTTATTTCTCAGCCAAAATTGATGTGTGATTAATTTGCCATTAATTAGACTAATCAACTGGCACATCATGTAATGAATTTTAAATTTCTCTTTAAAATTCAATTTAATGTTTTTGCTGAGCCCCAAACTCCATAGTGTGTTTTTGATGTCCACAAAGCTATAAAATTAAATATGATATTTGTCAAATATATTGGTCGCCGTTAGCTAAAGCATTAACAAATGGGACTTTATTGTAAAATCTGGCAGATGCATTTAAACTTTTTGAATAACAATAAAATTATACTTTTGAATTTTTACACTTTTCTCTGATCCATCTACCAAATCAATTAAAACATGTAATTTTGCAGCTGACCATACGTTAGCAACCAATTAAGTGTTTTAAACTACACTTTATAAACAAAGTAAATAATTTAAATACATCAATATATTAGTCAGTTTAATTTATACTTTTGGATTGATAAACTATAATTGATTCCATCACTTTTGTTTAAATGAAAATCAATTAGCACAATCTCAATAGTTTTCCTATACATTAAAGTTTTAATAAATTTTTTCGTATAGTTTTAGTATATAATAATAACCCTGCAACCAGGATGTTTGTTGGAAAACACATTTGTTGAACGAAGTCAATTAACTTCTAATAGGCGGTTAATTGTTTCACTGTAAATGTTATGATTGGGATGCATTTAAAAGCTCTGTACCTGTGCTCGGACGGTGCATGAGAAACCCCACATGGCTTTATCTGGGGTGTTGTGCTCGCGTCCGCTTCTCATCTCAAAAGAGAACGTCACGGTATCTCCTTCCACCTGAAAATACAACAGATTAGAAGCAGTGATATTTAATATCTGTAGATCGTCTGAATGAATCAGAATGTGCTTTATTCACTTATTCATCGTGATTTCCAGATGCACTGGTTAGTTACATACACGCATACTTAATTATTCCTCTCTATTCTCTGGTGTATACATAGAATTAAATAAAAACAAAGTAATATACATCTAGAAAAATTAAACGAGTAGAATTAAGGTAGAAAAACTTACAGTATTATATGTGACCCTGGAGCACAAAACCAGTCTTAAGGGTCAATTTTTTCCAAAAT